ACCCTCATTCATTTTCAACATGAAATTGGTTTAGCTGCGTTAATAATACGATCAGCCATCCTTTTTGTGGTCATGGTCTAAGATGATTATAAAGTATGGAATTCTGAGAAGTCTCCAGCCTTGTTGAAGGAAGAAACCATCGTTAAATTAATTATTGAAGAAAGGCACCTTACTATAGAAAACTGAAGAGGAGTGAATCTATTGGCAAGACGGTGAGGAACAGATTTTATGATAAGACTCAGAACAGGCGAATGAGAGGAGGCTAACACTAAACAGGGACTAGGATTATCTGGGCAAAAACGCACATGCACGTCATAGATTCCATGCGATTCCATAAACTTTTGCATCATCATGACAAGTTTTGGAATACCTAGAAATATAGCTATTTAAGGAAAGTGCCTGGTTAAAAGCATTGTTTTTCGCTTAAATATCTATCCAAGATTTCATGTAATCAAAAAATGACTCAGTTTATTCATAGTTAATTGAGTGGAATGGTTATGAAACCCGTCAGACTCCTTTGTTATATGTTTTTGTGGACCTGAAAGTGCTCAACGTTTAAAAGAATTCCTATCATTTTGATTGTATTGACCAATAGAAACGTTGCATTAATTTATTCCGTAATAATTTGCCAACAGAAAACAAAGGATTGTGCACTTTCAGGGTGCTTCCAACATAAACTGCAGCACTGTTGTTTTTATCATTGATTTTTGCCGCTTTTCATAACCAGTCTCCTCTGATAACTATGGTTTATTTTAGTTCTTGGTTCAATAATTTTTGGAGGATTTTTGGAGGATTTTTCGAATGTTTCTAATATAAAAATTGGTATTGAAAATTTGGGAAATTGAAAAATATTGGACTTTGGGGTTATCAAAAATTAGAATATGAAGTGTATGATAAGTATACAAATACCATATAGTCCACCACCACAACCGGGTGCCTCTGATCCATTAAGCGGACTTACTGGTTTATGTGTACACCTTTTCTATCCTGATTTATTTCCTTCCGAAATCAACATCATTTCCCCCCCCCCCCAAAAAAAAAAACCCAAAATTCCCCCACAAAAAAAACAAAGAGATGACACCGCAACCATAGAAAAAAAAAAAAAAAAAACAAAAAAAAAAAACGAAGAGGGTGGGGAGATAAGAAGAAAGAAAAAAAAAAAAAAAATTTGGGAAAATTAAAAATATTGGAATTTGGGGGTAAAAAAAAATTAAAAAAAAAGGGTTTGATAAATATAAAAAATCCATTTAAGCCACCACCCCCAACCGGGGCCCTTGTTCCATTTAAGGGGATTTCTGGTTTTTTTTTACACCTTTTTTCACCCTTTTTTTTTTCCTCCCAAAAAAAAATCATTTCCCCCCCCCCCCCCAAAAAAAAAACACCCAGATTTCCCCATTAATAGCAGGCAAGGCGTTGACCGCGCAGCTATAGACAACAACAAGAACAACAACAACAAAACATCGGTCCTGCTGGTGATGAATTGAGACATGATAAGAAAAAGAGTATGAAACGCAATGACTAGAAGTGTAAACTTTATGATGGTGAGGATGTGGATGAGTTTGGACCATGGAGCCTGCGTTGTTAACGAAGATGGAGGGGGTAAAGACGTCAGGAACCGATTGCAGAAGGTATAAGGTGCTTCCCAAAGTCTGGAAGTGTGCTCAGCCAGAGATTCGAGTAGAGGATTCGAGATATTTCCAGACATTTCAAGAGAAGCTCAGGGATCACAGAGCAGGATTAGAGTGGGGGGTGGGCGGGTGGGGGTGGGGGCTAATCACTAAAGTCAATATTCTCAACATAATTTCTTCGGGAAGACGTTGGGTTCTGATACAGTGATAATTTAACATGATATCATTAGCTGCCAAAGCTGATAGAATAATTAATTACTGAGGAAGCTAATATTGGTGCTACTGCAGCAAATAAGCTACTTGGACTTATTAATGTCAATGCTGTCGACGTTACTGTCAAACTGATGCAAATAACGTAAATGACAACATAATTCATCCATTTAACCATGTAGATGATTATTGATTAATCAGACCCTCAACACATACACGAGTTGCTGGGAGCAAACTTTTATTTATTTCATCGTGCTACGAGAAACCGCTTTGGGACTCACCAATCTTGTACTCAGAATTCCCAGATTTGTCATAAATAACTATTTGTCCTTAAAGCGAATTATTTTGGACACTGAAGAAACATTATTATTCAGTCAAAATTTTCCATAATTCTGATTGGCTAAAAGCACACACATAATTCACCACCAAAGGGTACTAATGACCAAATTTGGAAGATTTTTGAATTGTGTGTAACGAGGAAATGACGTCAAAAATGCACCCGCTACACGTTAAGGCACCGTTACCGAGAAGACCTGGGGAAGAGGTTGAGTTGTTTTGAAAGTGAAAAAAAGGCGGACATTTCACTCGTTTTAACAAGATGTGGTAATACCAAAAATGTACAAAACATTCAGAGAATTATATTTGCGCTAACCTAAGAAAATAGCGGTCATCTCGCCACGCTAAGACTGGTTTCCCCGCAAAATGATGTCCGATAAACGACTGCAGACGAATGCCATACTGATGACGTGTCACTAACAAGATCTAGGTAGTGCTTCCAATTGGTCGTGCAGCGAGGGAAATTTGCTTCAACCAATCAGAAGAACAACCCAGGTCTGGGTAGTGATACGTCATCAGTATAGCATTTCTGCAGTCGTACCACAGTCATCATTTTGCGGGGAACCACTGATGTCGGGTATTTTCTCAGTGTGTATAAATTGTGCCCCTTTTAAATAAGGTTTATGCTTCCTACGGTTTTATTTTCCGAATGAACAAAACATGGAAAACATGGTTAAAGATCCATACAAATGTCTATAATTTTGTGACAGCGTCCCCCAAACCGTATAAACTCTTTAAAATTGTTCAGTTTTTCTTTTAAACTGTAAAATTCGTCGTGTATCTACTACTTGGAAGCAACTAATTCGAAAATCACTGTGTTTGCCCATTTGTAGGAATATCACAGAAATCGCGGGAAAAAATAAGAGTTTATATGGTTTTGGGGGACGCTGTCACAAAATTACAGAGGTTTGTATGGATCTTTAACCATGTTTCAATAGTCATAACTTGATCCCTGTTTAACCTTAAAGCACCAAACTTGGTCAAATGACCAATCTCAACATTGCCTTTTGTATGGTGGTGTCAGCTTATCGATTAGTTTAAATTTGAAACTCGCCCCAGTTCCCTACGCAACTCCGAAATGGCCACAGGTGTTTTGGAAATTTTTTGAACGGTTTAGCTAAAAGCACACGCCTGCCTCGATCGTCCTGAATATTGAATGAGTGCAGTTTGTATTGCAAAATTGTGAAATACTGTATTCTGCCCGAGGTCTGTATGATAAAAACAGTGCCTCATAGTACTGTTTCACCTCAGATGTGAAACATAAATGGTATGAAAGGTTGGTTTAAAAGCACTCAGATTTGTTAACAAGATTTTGTAAAGTAAAGTTGTCGAACGCAAAAAATTCGGCCTGATTTTTTTCCTAAGCCTAATTAATCTACGGTGATTAAAAGCCATCATGGCTCTTAAATATGTGATCGAAGATTATTGCTATTTTTTGGGTGTACATATGAGGCTATCAACTCGAGGTAAGATTTGGTTCACTCTTGGGCTATTTGCAAATTGTTTTTACCTAAAATCACTTAGCCTTTCCCTATAAGTCACATGAATGAGCTCTAAAGTTAACTGAATTGTGGAATACAAGTTTATTGTTTGATTTAAATTATAAATTTATTAATGGAAGCTTCGCATTTAGCCCTGGTTAAATCTATATATTAACATTGTTTAGACACTCTTTTGCTTAAAACCTTTCTTAATGGTCCTTAATGAACCTTTCAAATAACCCTATTGTTATCATTCATTCAACTTATTTCTAAGTTTCTGATTGGCTTTTTACGCCCGAATTATTCTTTGTGACCTAAAGTTGACCAAGCAATTTTGCAAAGGTAAAAGGTAGGACAGAGTAATGGAACAGAGATGGAAACACCCTGTCTAGCCCTTGGGCCGGATATGTGAATTTCACCAAAGTTATTTTTTGACCAATTTTAATTGGTTTAAAAACGCTTGGAATTATTCGGAAAGTTTTCGCAGAGGCCAGCAAACGTTTATTCCGTGTTGCTTAGATAGAATTCAACAGTCGCCATTCTGCATTGTTTGCTTTGAGGCAGTCGCGGGTGGACTTGATGACGTTTTAAACTTTCGACTGAAGTGTGTGGACGTCCCAGGAATTAGACTTCCATTTGGATACCACATCTAAAAATAACTTATGTGAAATTCACATATCCCGGCCTACGCCCTAAGACTACCCCTTTGTCCCATTATTTTCTCTTGGTAAAGGTTAACCCATCAATAAGACACCTAGAGCTAGTCCCTGCCTTTTACACTCCTGTTTTAGATGATCATCTATATAAAAATAGGGAATCGCCCTATAATAGACACAATATGCTAGTCCCAAGGGTTTAATCAGCTAAGAGACAGTTGACTGTGTGTACTAAAAAGACAAATTTAACCATGCATATGGTTCGCGTTCCTCTTGAATACATTGAGAAAATTATGGCGCTGTCACTACTAAGGTTCTCAGGCTTTTTTCTTTTAGGCAAACAATCCATCTCCTTTATGGCATTTGGAAAGACCTTCCAACTCATTTAAATTTACAACTCGAGAATGTCTGCATTTCCGAAGAAAATTATACGCTATCTACTGTCAGAACAACAAATGAAATAAATTTTGCTTTATGCCGATGACGCATCATACTACATGTAAATGAGGTCTTCCTTCTTTGCTTTTTTTTCTTTTTCTATTTGTTTTGATCATTTACCTTGCTACCTAGAATCTAAAATGCTTAGGGAGCTAACAAGAGAACCAACTGGTTCAGTTAGCTTCCTATCTTACACATTATTTTTAATACAAAAAATGCACATCGACAAGAGCACAATAAAGATTATTCGATTATTCTCTTGAAACTTCCGTTGTTGGAGCGGCCTTCAAGCTTCTTCTCACATCTTTGTCCTCTTTGATCACTCTGATTTCTATTTCTTCTTCTATCGCATTCATTTCTGCGCTCCCACGGTCTCCAACGCTACCTAAAACAAGAAAATGCATATAATTATAAGGGCTGGAAGCGGGAATGGGGCTTACGTGACGAACAGTCACCCCCTGTAAGGAAATGCAAGACAGTCTTTGATTCTGGATTACACGCCATGGATTCCGGATGGATTCCACTATTTGTCCATGAAACTTATGTATTCTTGATTCCAATCTTAAAGGAGGATTTCGGATTCCTTGAGTGGTATTCCGTATTCCAAAGCCCAGAATTCCGGATTCCAAATTGTTCGTGGTTTTCGGATTCCAAAATTATGCCGGCAAATTCTTCCCGGATTCCGGAATTCGGATGAGGCGAGAACAGCTTATTAGCTTTATGCGTATCGGTATTGTTCACCTGAGACGAAAAAAGTTGTGATCTTGAAACGTAATTGAAAGTATTGAATGAATCCTTTAAACCAGACCTTTCTCTTACCTTCTTTTTTTCTGGGAAGATTCCTAGTCTTCATCAAATCCCAAACGCAGCCTGTCACAAACATCAACACAACAAGACCAGTAGAAACATACATTATAATGCTGATTACGTCTCGATAGTCAAAGCCTTTTCTTGAACCGTATTCGTTCATATCAATTTTGGAGTTCTTCTCGCATTCTGTAGCTTCTTCAAAGGATTCATTTACATCGTGATGCTTCTCCACCATATTCTTAACACACGATCTCACGTCCGAGGCACCTTGTTGGAGGCGTATTCCAACGTAGTGCTTTCTCAATGCCCGTACAAACTGTAACTTTTCGTAGGTGTCGTCATTAAACTCTTCACAACCACGAAGAACTATTTTCTCTATTCCATCAGTTCTATTTTGCAAGTGCTTGATCAAACTTTCGTTGGAATTCTGTTGGATCCCTAAAAAGCATTATACATAAATGTAGATGTCATTCATGAACTGCAACATTAAGCAACATCAGATAATGATTGGAGTACAAAACCTGCTACTTCATCAGGTCAGCCAAGGGTGCAAGAGAAGGCGGCGTGACTCTTTCGTTATAACGAGTATCAGCTACGTAGAGAGTGGTGCATCCCTGAAATTTTACAGGGTCTGTCAGGGTTTCAGGGTACGGTATCTTCCGGTAGTCACATGAATAAAGATGTTTTCGGGTCATGATATTTGGCATACTACGTTTCCTTAAGGTCTCGATATATTGCGACAAGTATCGAGGTATGTTTTATGAAATTTAAGGTATACTGGCTATTAAACTGAATTTAATTAGATATACACAGGAGATTACATGGCCGCGCGAGTGAGCGCAGCGAAGAAGAGAAATATTTTTCAACACGAGAAGAGAAATTTCATATTTTGATTATTATATAAACACCGATGAGATGCCAAACCATTTCACTTAAATAACTTTTTTGATGGAAAGGCGCGATTTATTATGTACTTATAGCAACGAAGATCTTTTCACATGTGAAAATAACATGTTATTTTCACCTGTGAAGATATCATGTTTTCGCGCCAAATTAAGCTTACCTGGTATTTCATTAGTGTTTATATAATAAAATGGAATATTACTACCACCTGATCGTCACAAATCATATCCAGATTACAGTACCTTTTATCTTTGCTCCTCTGAGCTCTTCTTTAAAGAAACGCCTGCTATAAAATGGGACTCCAATCTAATATTGAGATATAAGTATGATTGTTTACTCAGGGTACATTTGTCAAGCAATATAGTTACGTTATCAGAAAATTTTGACTTTCTCGATTTAGTATATATTGGGCGAAAGTCCGTCGACACCCCTGAAAAGGGCTCCTTAACATTGGTAAACTTACCAAAAGTGATACGTCTTACTCAAACAAAGACATAGCCCCCCCGCCTTTTTTTTTTTTTTTTTTTTTTTTGTTTTTTTCGTTTTTTTTTTTTTTTTTCGGGGTGGTGTGTTTTCCCTTTTTCAAAAAAAAAGGGGGCAATGAAAAAAGTAAAAAAAAGGAGGAAGGATTTTTTTTCCGTGGACGGAAAAATTTTGAGAAACAAAAGAATAAAATATTAGTTTATTATTTAAATTGTTTTTGTTTTTGTTTTTTTTTTTGTATGGGGTAAAGTGCAGCAAATCCACTTAAAATTGTTTTTTTTTTTTTTGTTATTTTTCAAATGTTGTAGTTTTTTCTTCAACAAATCATCCGCCCCCCTCCTTTTTTTTTTTTTTTTTTTTTTGCTTTTTACGGTCTTTTTCTTTTTCAGCGGAGTCGGTAGATTTTCACTATTCAGAAAAAAACGGGACCATGTAAAAAGTTAAAAAAACGTGGATGGATCTATTATCCGGTGCAGGAAAACTGTTTGAAAACAAGAGGATATCAATATTTGATTAACTGTAAACCAGTGCTTTACCGAAATTTTGTTGTTATCGATATTCTCTGTTTTTGATGAAACAAATCTTACATCTTCGTTCTGTTCAACGAATAATATGGGAAATTTTTTAAAACGCATTCAGAAGCTTTTTATGTGTTTTGGGTCAACCTTTCAACCTTATAGGCTCTAAATCATTTCTCTTGCACACAATAGATGCGAGGGAAGAAAACTTACTTTTTTTCCGAAACATGTGTGACGAGGCTTCAACTCTTTAGACATCAGTCCAGATGTAACTTCAGCAGTGAATATTGATAGAAATGTCATGCCAACAATCATCCAGACGGCGGAGTAAATACGAGCCGGTAGCGACTTGGGAGTCTTATCTCCATATCTGCAGGAAGGAGGAAACAAGTAAACGATACTCCTGGGAGCGAGGTATTGAATAATTGAATTTTTAGTAAAGAGATTTCAAAAGAGAAAGAAAGAGAGAGAATTTCACAACAGAATTTTGCTTCAATGCGTTGCTCATTTTGTATTTTTGTTGTATGTTGTCTTTTTTGTGATAGAAAAATACTTCCTTTGCGCTTTAACGATCTCCTCTTAGATAGGCCAAACAACTGACAGGTTAAATCGTGCGTGAAAATTGACAATAAAGTTGGTTTAAAAATACTGTATGTACACGATGTAACTCAAAAAACATCAAAGACAAGTAAAATTTATTGCAGTTATATATTGCAGAGTATTGTAATGATAATAAGAATACTACTAGTAATAATAATCACTGGTGGATCCGGGGGAGGGGCCCGGGGGGGTCAGGCCACTCTTTATTATTAGACCAAATGAGGCCCGACAAGGGTCGAAAAAATTTTTTTGGAGGTCGCCTCCCCCCCCCCCCCCCCCCCCCCCTTTTTTAGGGACTGAGAAAAGGAACCCCCCCCTCTTTGAAGTGTGTTTGCCGCAGGGGTTGAAAAAAACAAACAACTAAAAAAAAAAAAAAAATTTTTTTATATGGAGTGGGCGTGAAATACTGTTTTTTATTCATGGATGTCTGTAAGATAATAAAAAAATTCAAATAAAATAACAAGACAAGATAAAAAAAAAATAATGAAAAACTGAAAAAAAAAAAAAAAAAAAAAAAAAAAAAAAAATTTTTGTGTTTTATATTTTAGAAATTTTTAAAAAAAAAAAAAAAACTAAAAAAAAAAAAAAACACGTGGGGGTCGGGGGGGGGGGGCCCGGGGGGGGGGGCCCCCTTTTTTTTTTTAACCAAAACGGGCCCCCCAAGGGGCCAAAAAATTTTTTTGGGGGGGCCCCCCCCCCCCCCCCCCCCCCCCTTTATCTCAGGGTCTAGATGACCGGACCCCTACTTATCTGAAGGTCTGGATCCGGCACTGATGATAATAATAACACTGAACATTAACAATAATAATCTTTATAGAGGAGGCTCCGGGCACATTATGTGGTTTCACGAAGGTCCTTAGCTAAAATTAAAACAATATCAAAATAAATAACAGTCAGTTACTGACAATCATACTTAAAAATTTCACTATTACGAAAGGCTAAAAAGGCCAAACTTCGGACTCAAGAAAGACTAATTAAAAGTGAAAAAATTACAATTAAAGTTAAAAAATATAAAAGGCTTAGGGGAAAAAAAAACTAAAAAAAACACCTAAAAAGGTTAAACGTCTACGGGCTAAAAATATTTGGCAGTTAAAAACGTTTTTAGGTCTCGCTTAAACATATTGCATGTCACGAGTTTCCTTAAAATGCTGGGGAGACTTGTCCAGTCGCTATAATGCATCTATAATATCTTGTTCTTTTACCCCAATCGGTCCTTGGATTGGGGGTTCTAGGTAGGTAGATTTTTTTTGTGTTATGTCCATGCAAGTCTCTTGAAGCTTTAATGAAAGTCTTAAGGTGCTCTGGTATTTCCCCTTTTATACTACTACATGAGCAATTTCTGCAATTTGATTGGCTCATAGCAGTGGTATTTCAGCTTAATTTGAAATACCTACATGTGAAAATTACAAACCTTTTGCGGCTAGTAGTATAAATAATTAATAGCATGATTTGTAAGTGATATCTCAAAATTGTCTCAAATTTCACTCGCCTAACGGCTATCAGGTCTGACGTATAACAATTTCGAAATATCACTACTAATCACACTATTACCTATACTAATAACATTTTGTATCGCAGAGCACAGGAGAGCAAAACGTCGTCCAACCAGTGGAATCCATTGGAGGGAATTGAGTGCTTCAGACGATGAGATCTTTTTACATGTGGCTAAATATCATTTAGGCAAAGTTAAAATGTGAGCAAATGCAGCCAGCGGTCTCCCCCATCTGCGGCACGTGACCTTTGGGGTGGCCTCTAGAGGTTTCACAGGGTTTCAAGGTTCATTGCTTTACACGTGCAGTGTTATCAGCTGATCTTTGCGGATCAAACGCTTTGCTAGTGCGAATCATTGCGGATTCTTGCTCGGTTTATTGCTGTTCTTCCCTTCGTTTGTCGCGAGAAAGCATTCTGCTACGATATGTCGTCCAGGCCAACACGTAACAGCCAAGCGGCGGCTTTTGATGCCATGATTTCTCCTGCTGAAAGCAACCCGTCCAGTTCGGCGGCGAACTCTAGTTTGCCTAGTACAGGCTCAGCGGACCCATCTGCAACGTCCCAATCACCCATGTCGGACCAGCCTTCTCCTGCCTTTTTGGCCGCCGTTGTAAGTGCTGTCAAGCAAGCGCTAGCGGCCGAGCAAACTTCGAATCTGCCTTCAACGCCTGCCACTAGTTTTGCTTCAAGCGTGCCAATGGCGGCCTCGCCTGGGGGCGTTCCTGGTTCGTCTTCGTCTTCGTCTTCTACTGGTCAACTCGATGCCCAAGCCTCAAGCTTGGCAGCCTCTGGCGTTGGTTTTTCGTCGGTCTCACCGGCTGTTTCCGCTGCCTCGGTCCAAGGTAGGCCTGATTTTGTTGTACCTGCTTTTGTTACTACTTTTGCCTCACCGATATCCGCCGTTACGCTTTCTACCAATTCTGCCGCCGTGACCGCTTCGCCTAGCATCGGTGGTATTTCTTCGCTGGCCCAGACGCCTGTTTTGCAGCAGCCCTTTGTCGTGGGCCCCGGCTTTTCACCGGTGCCTGCAAAACTTGTGAGCCAGATCGTTGCTGGCAAGTTTGTCGAGTTGCACGAACTGCTTTCTTCGAACTTGGTGCTAAACGAGCCCGAACCTCAATTGCTTTTCGACGGGCGGCTGGTGCTTACGTCAACTCCAAAAAAGCCCAAGCGACGCGTTGACGACATCACCAGTTGGTTGGAAGCCTTTTCGATATATTGTCTGATTTTATCCTCCCATTTTCCGCATCGCTGGAAGGATTTGATGCAGTATCAGTTGCTCATTCTCCGGACTCACCGTCAGTTCGCGGGCCGAGTTTGGTTGGCGTATGACCGGGCTTTTCGGGAACACGCTGCGGCCTCGACCCTCACAGATTGGTCAACCATCAATGTGCAGTTGTTTAATTTTCATGCAGCTGGGGCTTCGGTACGCTCTCGCGGGGAACTTTCGGAGGAGTTTTCTGAGCCCCGCGGCGCACCGTCTTCGCTCATTATTTGCAAGTCTTGGAATCGAGGCCGTTGTGTTGCTCCTTCGTCGTCGTGCCGCTTTGCTCACAAATGCTCTAGTTGCTTTGGCCCGCATCGTGTCGGAGCGTGCCCTGGTGAGGCATCAAGCCAGTCTCGTCCTTCTTCCAAACGGCCAGTTGATGCTTCCCCCCTCCGTTCTAGCAGCAAGTCTAGGCGCTAGTGAACTCGATCAGATTCGTTGGTTGTCAGGTGTTCATTTGTATCATTGTTAGGTTGCCTTAGGTCGGACGATTTAAATTTCCAAGTGCAGACCTTACTGGACTTATAAGAGTTTCTTTTTGTTCCCAAATTACTTGGTACTCTTGTGTAATTAGTCTGCCTCCTAGTAGTGGCCTTCCACATGTACTTCTTAGGGCGTGATTAAAGCTAGTTGTTTTATGTTGACTGTCCCAGCCGTTTTGTTGCACACCTTCTTCTGGGGTTTGTGGGGGTTCTTTGCCATGGGGCTAGTTATTTACCTTTGTATGCTTTGCGTTTCCTTTCCAGCTCCTCTTCCCCCAGTTTCAGCAGTTACTCCCTTAGTCGCGGAGCAGTTTGCATGGGAGTTGCGCTTCCACCCTCAGCGGCCACAGGTTGACTTTGTCTTGGATGGCATTCGTCATGGATTTAAATTAGGTTTTTCCCCTTCCCATAAGCTCAAGTCCGCTAAGAAGAACAAGCCATCTGCTACTCAGCATGCCTCTGTCATTGATGCTTATTTAGCGAATGAGGTTTCTTTGGGTAGGGTGGCAGGCCCCTTCAATTCCCCCCCCTTCCCAAACCTCCAAGTTAGTAGTTTTGGTGTCATTCCGAAAAAGGGCCAACCAGGCAAATGGCGTCTCATTGTGGATTTGTCTTCCCCTTGGGGGGCTAGTGTCAATGATGGGATTAGCGCAGATGAGTTTACTCTTCATTACATCACTGTGGATCAAATTATTCGCTCAGTGTCTCGCTTGGGGAAAGGGGCCCTCATGGCTAAATTTGACGTTGAATCCGCGTACCGCAATGTTCCTGTTCACCCGTCCGACCGTCACCTGCTGGGGATGAAATGGCGTAACCAGTACTATGTTGATCTAGCCCTCCCCTTTGGCCTTCGTTCAGCTCCATTCATCTTCAATGCGATCGCAGATTTGGTGGAGTGGATCCTCGTGCACTCCTATCAGATCCCTGATCTGCTTCATTACCTAGACGACTTCATCACTATGGGCCCCCCTGAGTCCTCTCAATGTGCACACAATTTACGCACCGCTCTAGCAGTCTGCAAGCGTTTGGGCCTGCCTCTTCACCCAGGCAAGTGTGTTGGCCCCTCGACTGTGCTCGTAGTCCTTGGTATTGAGCTGGACTCTGTTAATCAAGAGGCTCGTCTCCCTGCCCAGAAATTGTCCGCATTGAAAGAACTTATCTCTTCGTGGCTTCCACGAAAGTGGTGTAATAGGCAGGAACTAGAATCTCTCATTGGACATCTGCACCATGCTGCTAAAGTGGTTTGGCCTGGGAGAACCTTTTTGCGCCGCATGATTGACCTTCTGTCCTGTTTCCGAAGAAGAGATCACCCAGTTCGGCTTAACAGAGAATTTCATTTGGACCTCCGGTGGTGGCACCACTTTCTCTCTGACTGGCATGGTGTTAGTTTTTGGCTTTTCCCGGGTCTGGTCCCAGAGGCGGGGGTCGAAGTGTCGTCCGATGCAGCTGGTTCGATTGGTTTTGGGGCCTATCTGAAGGGCTACTGGTTTGCGGGTTCTTGGGCCCCTTCTCAGCAGCAGCAGTCTATTGCTTATAAGGAGCTCTTCCCAGTCGTCATTGCCGCCCATGTATGGGGCCACATGTGGTGCAAGAGGCATGTTCTGTTCCGCTCTGACAATGAAGCGGTGGTCCATATTCTAAACACCCGGACCTCGAAAGTACCTAGTTTGATGCAGTTACTGCGTAGCCTGCTTCTTTCTGCTGCTCGTCATAGTTTCTCCTTTTCTGCTCGACATGTGCCTGGGGTTAACAATCTGATAGCTGATGCTCTGTCTCGTTTTCGTTGGCAGGACTTCAGGCAGTTGGTTCCGGATGCACAGCCTCATCCTACGTGGATCCCCCCAGAACTTCTGGCAGCTTTGACCTCTTCACCTTAGAGCGGCAATGCTATTCCTTCTTGACCCAAGGCCTGGCCCCATCTACCCGTCGCTCGTATGCTTCTGCCCAAGCACAGTTTATTTCCTTCTGTCGTCAGCTGGGGAAGTTACATCCCTCAGGGTTACCCTGCCCGGCCGATGAATGGACGCTTTGCCTTTTTGTCACCTTCCTTGCTAGGACCATTAAGCATTCTTCTATCAAGGTGTATTTATCTGGGGTTAGAGCTCTCCACATCGACCATGGGTTCCCTGATCCGCTCATTAATTGTCTTCGTCTTCAGCGGGTAGTACGTGGTATCAAGCGCTGTCAAGGTTCTTCTTCGTCTAGCCGACTTCCTATTACCGATGATCTGATGCTGGTTATTTGGCAGTCTTTAGATCTTCACCTCCCGGATCACTGCATGTTCTGGGCAGCTTGTTCTCTTGGATATTTTGGCCTTCTTCGCGCGTCAGAGTTTACCGTTCCCAATTTGTCTAGCTTCTCGTCGTCACTCCACTTGGGTGTCCAGGATATTTCAGTGGATTCGCCCTCAGCTCCATCCTGCATGCGCGTCAGGATCAAGGGCTCGAAGACTGACCCATTTAGGAAGGGCTGTTTCATTCACATTGGCGTTGGCAGGCGTCCACTCTGTGCAGTTCGCGCTGTAATGAATTACCTCGCGCTTAGGGGAGATGCCCCTGGCCCCTTGTTTTTGTTGCAAAATGGACAGCCTCTCTCGCGCAACACCTTGACAGATTGGCTCCGACAGATTATGGCCTCAGCTCGGGTGCCGGGAAACTTCTCCAGCCATAGCTTTCGCATAGGGGCTGCTACTGTCGCTGCTCGCAATGGAGTACCTGACCATTTAATTCAATCAATGGGCCGCTGGTCCAGCAATGCTTATCAGCTTTACATAAGGACGCCAGCTGAAGCGTTAGCTGCCCTCTCCATCAAGTTGGCCTGATGGGAGTTCTTGCAATGCCTGCTTAACTTACCTCCCTCCTGCATGCACGTCACGATCAAGGGCTCGAAGACTGATCCACTTTGGAAGGGCTGTTTCATTCACATTGGCGTTGGGCAGGCATCCACTCTGTGCAGTTCGTGCAGTAATGAATTACCTTGCGCTTAGGGGAGATGGCCCTGGCTCCTTGTTTTTGTTGCACAATGGACAGCCTCTCTTGCACATCATCTTGACGGATTGGCATCGACAGATTATGGCCCCAGCTAGGGGTGCCGGGAAACTTCTCCAGCCATAGCTTTCGCATAGGGGCCGCTACTGTCGCTGCTTGCAATGGAGTACCTGACCATTTAATTCAATCAATGGGCCGCTTGTCCAGCAATGCTTGTCAGCTTTACATAAGGACGCCGGGCTTGATGGGAGTTCTTGCAACGCCTGCTTCGCCCTTGTATCTGGTTCCTATAGCATCTTGTTCCTGGGTCTTGGACTTGGCCATGTCAGCTTCTGTAGGTATGTTGTAGCTTTACCTTGGTTTTCGGTTACTGGTGCTTGGGGGCAGTTTGGGGATCGGAGGTACCATGTCACCCCTGTTCGCGGTTCCTCCTTTCTCCAAGCACCAGGAGAAGGGTTTTGATTGGGTGGTTCCCGCGTTCCAGGGTTGCCATGGATACCTCCCCTGCAGCTTGGCATCTGGCACCCCGCTAACCTTTTAGGCACCAGTTCCCAAGCTCATCTATTTGTGATGAGTTTAACTAGAATTCTTTTCGCAAATCTATTCTGAAACGCTTGTAAACAATCCATTTCAGATTTCAAACCAGGCTGATCTCCCCATACAATGTCACCATAGTCTAAATGGGGTGAAACTAAGCCGATAAAATACGCAATGCGAGTCTTGTCATCTAGCATATGAGATTCGGTTAAACACAGACAGGATATAACACAGCTTCTTTAACAAACTACTGATATGTGGCTTCCATCTCCATTTTGCGTAGGCTCGATTTCCGCCGTCTCCCGGGTCCGGTCTTGATCCTCCCCGAAGAGAGAGGGGGAATGAGTGTGGGCTCATTTTCCCGAACAGCGGCTGGTAATCGAGCCTACATTTTGCGTCCATTTTTTCTCCAAGATATTTACATTATTACACAAGTTCAACTTGTGTACCATTCATTTGTAAGTAGACATCATCAAATGACGAACAAACATGGTCTTTTTTAATACTTTCGGCAAGCATGACTTTAGTCTTCTTCACATTTATGCCAATTTGTTTTCAGCAATCGCATATCAAATTAAAATCTCGCTCTAAAATGGCTTGAAGCTCCACAGAAACTTTAACTTTCCACCCTCCTTTTTCCCGCGTGCTAGCATCGCACGACATCTATTCTTCACTGGGTTTACCAAAAAAATTCTCACTACGGTGATAACACGTCTGGAATCACATTCACAGTCCACGCATTCAAATTTATTGTCGAAAAGGTTCTCCTCAAGGTCTTGCCTCAAATTCAGGAGAGGAAATAATGCCAGAAATGGAATTTATTCATTTCCCACGGAGGTAATTGCCGACCCCATTTTGGTTTGTTTATTCTTTGAGCGGCGCCCTCCAAAGAAATGCGCGGGCTTGGGTACATTTGGCTATTTCGATGAAACCAACCCCATTACCGAAAAAAGTATCCAGTTACGGTCTCCAGATTATGGCTCCTGCAGGATATACATATATATATATATTTATACATGTATATAAGATGGCGCGTGGTGAATTAACCACAGTCTAATATTATGATGTTAAAATGCCCTGATACAATTTAGAACTCTTACCAGTGGCTGATGTTATGACTTTATTCCATATCACTAATGTTAGTAATCAGGGCACTGAGCAACCACGTATTTCCCGCCAGAAAAAACGTGCTTTTATGAGTTAAAGATCAATTTCGAAAAAGCTAGGCAAAACGCGGCAATTTCGAGGCAAGTGATCGTTGGTTTTTTGCATGTGATAGATCAGACGGAAAGATCGAGAAATCTGCCCAAAATCTGTTTGCAACACGAAAGAATTACGGAAATCATGTGAAATATATCATAGTTTCGCGAGACGTGGGGAGAATTTATTAAACGGAAACCATGAATGTGGTGGACTACCATTAGCCGAGCTATGGATTAAGACCCTTTGGTGAACGACCTTAAAACCACCATCAGCTAACCGGTCAAAGTGGACCAGCTATAAAGGTTGTCCCAAATATTCCGGTCGGATCGTACCAAAATGGCTCGTTCCATTTAGTTTCTAACCGAAGTTTCCGGGATTTTGGGCTGAATTGGAAGAGCCCAAACCAGTTCGATCAGAAGTCCATTATGTGTATTCTAACTCTCACTCTTTTCTTTACCTCAACTTTCATCTCTTAGCGATCTTCTCACTCTGCAGCTTACTTGCAAGCTTCAAAACTCTCCCTTCCGTCTTCTCTCCATTCCTCGCCAACTTTCCCGTCATTTCAGTTTTGACCAGGAGGTAGTCACTCCATTTGACGGCTATCATCATTACTTTCCCCCCCCCTCCCCCATTGTTGATGTTCTCATGCAGACATTTACTAAAAGATGGTCACCTGGTGAATCTCTTTTTGCAGGTTTAATTGCAGGAATAGCCTTCCAATGATACTTATAATCAGACCATCAATACTGCATAGGCCGCATGGTCTCTCACGGCTGTTATTCGTAACTCCAACATTGTGTTTTCTCCCCAGACTGTAAATGGTGTTTAGAGCTCCCATCACTGAGATCATGTCTTGATTGTTGAGGATCTTCAGTACTCTGCAGCAATGGTTATCCTTTACTTTGGTTTTAATCGCCAGTGCTAATGCTTGTAACACAGTCAGCGTTGTGTATTTCGAATAGAACCGTGCCTTCACCATTTGTCACAGAGTTTTGTGTTACTTTTCGCGCGTGACATTTTTTGACCTTAGATGTAGCCGATCACGTTTCGAACACGTGATCATGTGACACTTTGAACGGAGTAGTTTTTCGATTTAGAGAATTGTAATTTTGTTGAAGGTACGTGTATCGGTTTAGAAGCCCGTTACTTTTGTGGAACCCTATCGTTTTTGGCAAGTGTATCGGAATAGAGGCCCGTTACTGTAGAGATCTATTGGTTTCAAATAAAATCTATCACATTTGGTCCCAAGAGCCGGATTTGGAGTCAGAACTAGCTGAATTATGCCTGGAAAACTAGCGAAGAACCTGAAAATACGTGCGGCGCATCGCTTACACGCAAGGAAAATTCTTTCATCAGTCGATGAACTTCTCATGGATTACGATGGGTCTGATACCACTAAAGACAAGATAAAACGGATAACTATTACGCTCAATGAAAAATTAGCGACCTTAAAGACCTTGGACGAATCGATTTTGGCCGCAATCGACGAAGGAAATTTAGAACCGGAGATAGAGGAATCTGAAGAGTTTCGCGCGCGAATTCATAGCGCCCTTGTCAAGTTACAGAAATGTGAAAATTCTCATGGCAAACAAGAATCGCCTCAAGGAAGTCAAGGTGGGTCTGTTCCATCTAGTTCTAGTAACGGTGCGAAGCTACCAAAACTTCACATAAAAAGATTTGCTGGCGACCCAAAAAACTGGCAAACATTTTGGGATTCGTTCTCGTCTGCGGTGCATAAGAACGCTTCGCTAACTAATGTTGACAAGTTTAATTATCTGCGAAGTCTATTAGATGGCCCAGCTCTAAATTCTATCACTGGATTACCATTAACTGAACTGAACTATAAGGAGGCTATTGAAATCTTAACCGATAGATTTGGAAACAAGCAGATAATTATTAGCTCTCACATGGAGGCCTTACTCAAATTACAGCCTGTGAATGCCATGTCTAACGTTAAGGGAATCCGAGCTGTTCTCGATAATTTGGAAATTCAGGTTAGAGGTTTACAAGCACTGGGAATTGATTCTGCACAGTATGGAGCTCTTTTGATTCCTATATTCATGGAGAAGTTGCCCGAAGAATTGCGATTGATTGTCAGCAGGGAACATAAGGATAACTGGGAGCTAACTTCTGTAATAAAAGCTGTCAAAAATGAAGTGGAGGCCCGTGAAAGGTGTGGTATGAATACATCTGTGGAGAAAAAATCCCCATTAAAGAAATCGTTTAACCCTGGCAATGAATCAACTGCGAGTGCATTGTTGAGCGGAAATCGTGGGGAGTTAAACTGTTTGTTTTGCAAAGGAAATCACCGAGCGTCTGAGTGCCAAGTTGTAACAAATATTGATGAAAGAAGAGAAATTTTGAAGAAACAAGGGAGGTGTTTCAATTGCCTGCGCCGTGGGGGGCACCTAGCCCGTAACTGTGACACCAAAATTCAGTGCTTCAAGTGTAGTGGTCGTCACCATTTGGCAGTTTGTAATAGTAGTATGGCAGACAGCAGTAATATTCCTGCTGGGGCAACAGCCTCACCTGCATTGCATATTGGTTCTGGGATGCATGTTTTCTTACAAACTGCTCAAGTAAATGTCTCAATCCCGGGGAAGGAACTCTCTCATAGTCTCACTGTACGTGCAATTTTTGATACTGGAGCCCAGCGATCGTATATCAACCAAAAGGTAGTAAATACCTTGAAATTGAAAACTGTCAGGACAGAGAGACTGAAAATTGCAACATTTGGGGATCAGAACCAAGAGCTGGAAGCTGTCAACCTGGTCGAACTTTCTTTAACCAAATCAGGAACAGACTTTAAAACAACATTGAATGCATTTGCAGTCCCTCACATTTGTAATGATTTACAAGGTCAAGATTTGGAATGGGTTAAAGAAAGATATCCCAGCTTAAAAAACATTGAATTTGCTGATGTGTGCCCTGCCAGCAATACAATGCAGATTGATTTGTTGATTGGTTCAGATTATATCTGGGATTTCTTTGATGGCAAGTCAGTAAGGGGGGAGGAGTCAGGTCAGGGTGGACCTGTGGCTGTTTCTACCAAGTTTGGATGGGTGTTGTCGGGTCCGGTGGAAAATCTCCCGAGGGAGAAACTTTCAAGTATTCAGTTTTCGTCGACTCACGTGTTGAGGACGGAGTCAAGGGTTGTTGATGATACGCTGCAAGGGGATTTGGATAGATTGTGGGATCTGGATTCTGTCGGCATTCGAGATAAGGATACTGTTCTTGAAGCCTTTGAAAAGAATTTGAGTTTTGAAGATGGCAAGTATTTGGTCCATCTACCTTGGAAGGAGCAACATGGGCTGTTGCCAGATAATTTTGAGAACTGTGTAGCAAGATTGAGCACGCAGCTTAAACGTCTTAGAAAGGATCCAGAGATCTTGAAAGAATATGACTCCATCATACAAGATCAGTTGCAGAGTGGTATAATTGAGCAAGTAGACTGTGCCAAGCGTCCTGATGTTGGAAGGGTGCATTATTTACCGCATCATGGGGTGGTACGCCGGGATGCCCTTACAACCAAACTTCGTGTTGTTTTTGATGCGTCGTCAAGGCCCAGCAGTGATAGTCCAAGTCTTAACGAATGTCTTTACTCAGGACCAGCCTTAACTCCAACAATCTTCAATGTTCTCCTCCGGTTTAGAGAGAAAAGAATTGCACTTGTAGGAGACATTGAAAAAGCCTTTCTCAATGTGGGAGTTGCTGAAGAAGATCGTGATGTCCTGCGATTCCTCTGGGTGGACAGTTTAGAAGAAGAGAATCCCGGATTGATGTTATATAGGTTTTGTCGTGTGGTGTTTGGAGTCAATGCTAGCCCTTTTCTTTTGAATGCCACTTTGAAGTATCATATCAGTCAATATGAGGCTGACCCTGGTTTGGTTCAGAACTTGTTGAATTCATTTTATGTGGATGATTTGGTGACAGGAGAAAGGGGTGTTGAGGAGTGTCTGTCGCTTTATCAGAAGTCTAAGAAGTGCCTATTGGAAGGTGGATTTAACTTGCGAAAGTGGATTTCAAATTCACCTAAATTGCTTGAATTGATTTGTGAGGACCAAGTTGGAACTGTCGGAACTTGTGCTGTAGTGGAGGATACAGAGTCTTATGCGAAAACTACTGTCAATCATTTGGAGAAGCTTGATATGAAGGATGAACACAAGGTACTTGGTGTCAATTGGAACTGTGTTACTGATGAGTTCATTTTTAAATTTGAAGCCTTACTGAGACTTTCAGAAGACTTGGAGCCGACCAGGAGAAACTTGTTAAAGGTTACTTCAAGTTTCTTTGACCCCCTTGGAGTACTCAGTCCAATACTGGTGGAAATGAAGATTTTGTTTCAGTCTCTTTGCCAGGAGAAGTTTGAATGGGATGCGCCACTCCCGGAGTCTGCCCGGAAGCAGTGGAACAGGTGGCTTCAGGACTTGAGAGAGGTGCAGCAAGTGTTAGTACCGAGGTGTGTGTATGCTGGATTAGAGGAAGGTGTTACGTCGTATGTTATTCATGGGTTTGGGGACGCTTCAGAAAAGGCTTATTGTGCTGTTGTTTACTTGGTTCTTGAAGTGAGTGGTGATTTTTTTCCAGTTTTGTTGTCATCCAAAACCAGAGTGGCACCGCTGACAAGGCAGTCTATCCCTAGACTCGAATTACTGTCTGGGGTCATCTTAGCAAGATTGGTGTCCTCAGTTAAAGAAGCCTTGGCGTCACAGATTACAATTGACAAGACACACTTGTGGTTAGACAGCAAGACTGCAATCTGCTGGATAAAGGGTTCGAAGGAGTGGAAGCAGTTTGTGCAAAATCGTGTGAATGAAATCTTGTCTTTGACCGAAGAGAGCATGTGGAACCATTGTCCTGGCATTGAGAACCCAGCGGACATAGGATCTCGTGGAGAAGGTGCGGCTAAGTTAAAGAGTAATGTGTTGTGGTGGAAGGGACCATCGTGGCTGTCGGAGCCCATGAGAAACTGGCCCAGTTCTGAGGAATGTTCAGAAACAATTGCTGAAGAGTGTTGCGTAGAGATGAAGAAAGGCCAAGCTATCGAAGCAGTTGGTGAAGCGGTATTGTTAACTACAAATGGAATACCCAATATGGACACTATTATTCCGATCACAGATTTTAGCTCCTGTAACAAGTTGTTTCGTATTACAGCTTTGGTGTTGCGCTTTGTGAAAAATTTGAAAATCAAGGCCAAGTTGCTAAAGGAAGGAACTGTTTACTCGGGAGAGGTTACTGCAGAAGAACTTGGAAATGCAGAAGTGAAGTGGTTAAGAAGTGTCCAGAAAGAATTGAAGTCCCAAGCAAATTACAGCCAGTTAGAGCGAGACTTTGGTTTGTACGAAGACAGTAGTGGAGTCCTAAGATGTAAGGGGAGAGTTGCTAATGCTGATGTACCACATGAGACGAAGTTCCCAGCCTTACTACCAAAGAATCATTATCTTTCAACTCTGTTGGTGAGAGATGCTCATGAAAGGGTGCATCACAATAGGGTAGAAGCTACGCTAGCCCAGCTGAGAACCAGATTTTGGATTGTCAAGGGACGACAGTTTGTTAAAAGAACACTGGCTAGCTGTACAGTTTGTCGCAGATATGAAGGGCAGAGTTACAGAGTGCCTCCTCAAAGTGACCTACCCGAGTTTAGATTGAGCCAGAAACCTGCCTTTACTTATGTCGGAGTAGATTATGCTGGACCTTTGTACATTAAGGTGTCAGGACAGTCTGCGTTACAGAAGGTCTATGTTCTCCTGTTTACTTGCTGTTCTGTGAGAGCAGTACATTTAGAGCTTGCTACGGACCTGTCGGTTGATGTATTCATCCGTTGCCTGAGGAGATTCGCAGCTAGAAGAGGTTTACCAGAACTGATTATCTCGGACAATGCCAAAACGTTTAAGGCTGCAGATAAAATTTTGAGCAAGTTATTTTCTTACCCAAGAGTCAAGAAATTCCTGGCCAGTAAAAGAATTGACTGGAGATTTAATGTGGACAGAGCGCCCTGGTGGGGTGGCTTTTTTGAGCGATTGATTCAGAATACAAAGAGATGTTTGCGGAAGACACTTAGGAACGCTAAGTTAAACTATGACGAATTGCACACTGTTCTCGTCGAGGTTGAGGGAACTCTCAACTCTAGACCCTTGACTTACGTATCGTCAGATGATCCTGAAGAACCATTGACACCAAGTCACTTGATGTATGGAAGACGAATATTATCACTGCCGGAGGTAACAGGAAATCGACAAGCCTCACTTGACCATACAGTGTCGTCGGAAGATCTCCCAAGAAGACGGAAGTACTTGGGATTGTTACTGGAACACTTCTGGAGGCGCTGGAGCAGAGAATATGTTACAGAGTTAAGGAACCTGCATCGGCAGAAATCCAGGCCTAGATCCAGTATTGCTGTATCTGAGGGAGATGTTGTTACCGTTTTCGAAGACAATCTGCCCCGTAGTCAGTGGAAACTTGGACGAGTGGAGCAGTTGATCCATGGTGCGGACGATCGCGTTAGAGCAGCTGTAGTCAAGGTTATCAGTAAGAGTGGTAGACCTGTTACTATGAAGAGGCCAGTGCAAAGGCTGTTTCCCCTGGAGATACCTGTCGTGACTAATGATGAACAACCTCGGGAGGAGCAGATAATTGATGGCATCAGGCCACCCAGGCGTCTTGCCGCTCGGAATGCTGATTATATTCGGAGACTAGTTGACCAGTGATTCGACTGGTCAAGGGGGGAGTGTGTCACGGAGTTTTGTGTTACTTTTCGCGCGTGACATTTTTTGACCTTAGATGTAGCCGATCACGTTTCGAACACGTGATCATGTGACACTTTGAACGGAGTAGTTTTTCGATTTAGAGAATTGTAATTTTGTTGAAGGTACGTGTATCGGTTTAGAAGCCCGTTACTTTTGTGGAACCCTATCGTTTTTGGCAAGTGTATCGGAATAGAAGCCCGTTACTGTAGAGATCTATTGGTTTCAAATAAAATCTATCACACCATTCTCCTGATCGATTAGTATCCATTCCATCAAGGCTCACTTGACCCTCGTGCTGATCATGTTGGCCATTCCACCTTAATATGCCTCGTCATCTTAGCAGCCTCATCGATCCTATAAACGTCCATCTAGTTTCACTCACTCCTAGCACTCAATAGTCTGATATGTCGTCATCTGTTTGTTCGCTTGTGCTGATCCGCCTCCGCCTCTGCCCAGTGGCGGATACAGACCTCCAGATAAGGATGGGGGGCGGTCATCCAGACCCTGAGATAAGGGGGGACCCGGGTCCCCCGGCCCCTCCCATGGATCTGCCACTGCTACCATAGTCCTCAATATCTGCCAATATGTGGTGGACCTTAGTTTTGCGGCTATCAATGAAAGGACTTTCTTTTTTTCCTCCACGGCAGCCTTCCCCGTTTGAGCTTTTTGATTTTCATTATAATTGCGTTCGGTTTACAACATGTGCCTCTTTAGAGAACATGGTATTTAGCCCATGTGATGAAACCCCAACGTGGAGGGCCAGAACTGAGATCGCACTTAATCTGTCTCCCATATCCCTCGACCTTTCCGGGAAGGTTGGTCTTGCCATGAATCCGCCGGCATTATTATGAGCTCTAGGGGTAACTGAGACGCTCAAGCTCTACGATCAAAACAAGAATAGTAATCCTATGGGGAGCCATAAGTGCAGGTATGAATTACTTAACGCAAAGGAGCAATTTCATTCATAAACTTTTGAAAACAAATAAGGGGTTTCCTACTCATATCACGTGGCGGTACCCTTTCTACTTACCCAACGGTCGTCATTGTGACCATTGCCCACCAGGCTCCTTCACGAACTCCTTCCCAAAAAGACGAGGGAAACTGGCGCTGGTTCGCTCTATGATCCTGATTATGAATTAAATACAATCAATAAGGGCAATGAAAATTTCTTGTTAAAGAATAGGAAGAAACTAATGAGCTCTACAAGGTGATGTAATCACTAAGGTACATGGCGTTGCTAGGTACCTTTGATACCATTGCAGTTTGACTGCAGTTTTGAATCTTACAAAAAACTTTAGCTTTATCTTTAAGGTGTTAAAATAATGAACTAACTACACCTTAGTACAAGATATTTTGAAACATGCATTGCTTTTGGGCTTTTTTTTTTTTAAGTTTTTTTCTTTTTTTCGCTTAATAACAGCTTAACCTTATGCCCGTTATGGCATCTAATCTCATAGCCCAGGCTATCGCGTTTCGTCAATATTGAAGTTAAGAGAGGAGGCTCGAGCAAACTGAATAAAAAGCGGAAAAAGTATCATCTATTCATCCATCCCCCTACAGCCCGTAAAGACAATACCGACAGCTGGAACATGCTAAAAAGGCAATTCACAATGTACGTTTTAGTGTAATTTTTCCGCCGTTTTCTGATGGAAGATTTCTTCAACCGACGAGCTTTAAAATAACACACAGCGAGCTAAAAAATATTGCGCAAAATGTCTGAATGCTTTTATGGATATGAACAGAACAAGACACTGTATTTCCTAAGATGTTTCAGTCCAACTTCACCTGCTGAACTTCACTGCAGTTTTCCATAGTACTTGTCGTAGCGTTAGTCTCGTCTTAAGGTCTCGGTAAAGAAAAACGAGGTGCCCACAGAAAAAAATTCTAGTCGCGCGAGTATTTTCGCTACAAAGGCAAGTTATATATCAAATTAAAGCTAAAATACTAAATTACCTTAAAAAAGATTTTATTTCATCGAATTTAAAAAGGCGCTTAAGTTTTTTGCTCTCGAACTCAGAGGTATCGAGTTTACTGCTGAAGCTCCAGCCCTTTCGCGTTGTTAAATATTCACTTCCTTTTTATTGCATCTGATTGACAGATAAAAGACCTAAAAAAGGGAGTGAGGAAATTTCCGATATCCCTTTGTAACTCATTTTGTGTCAGTTTCTTTGCGTAAATCGCGCTCGAGATGCGACTTTTTAGTTTGAAATGCAATAATTCCGCTAATACGAGACATATGCAAATTTCCTCACACCCTTTTTTAGGTCTTTTATCTGTCAATCAGATGCAATAAAAAGGAAGTGAATATTTAACAACGCGAAACGGCTGGAGCTTCAGCAGTAAACTTGACACCTCCGAGTTCGAGAGCAAAAAACTTAAGGGGCCTTAGAAATTCGATGAAATAAAATCTTTGATAAGGTAATTTAGTCTTTTAGTTTTAATTTGAAATATAACTTGCCTTTGTAGCGAAAATACTCGCGCGACTAGAACTTTTTATCTCTGGGCACCTCGTTTTCCTTTACCGAGACCTTAAAGCACTTCCTTTTAACTAGTATCGGCTCTCTTTCAGCTCATTCAATCAGTTAGTCGAACATGGCACTTACTGCATTCCGCACAAATAAAAAGCTACATTAAATATACGAAAGCGATATATTTACTCACCAGTATCCATATAATAACTCCTGATATCAAACTCCAGATGACACATAGTAACAGTGTTGCCCACATTCGGCTAAAAGAGGAACCTACTACCGTAAACATGGAGAAAGATTCTTTTTCTTCTACCAAATAGACAGGTGGAGACTCATAACTAAACACAGTGTCGTTCCTTCCTCTATCGTTAGTGTAGTAGGGGTATCTATACGTAATTTTATCGGGAGGCCCTCCGACAGTTGATTTATTTAAACAATTCTGTGACACCATTTTCAGCAAAAATGACCAAGTTTCTTTTTTCCATGGCCCTTCGAGTAGATCGTGCTTCGTTTTAAAATTAATTTTGTCCCATCTGACTTTTATTTGGAATCGTTTTTTACATTTTTTTTCCCTTTTTTTTTTTGGGCAGGAAAAGTCTACGCAACATTTAGTTCGTATTTGTTTTGCGCTGGTATTTGCTTGTTTTTTTAGGCACCAATCCATTATCTGCTCCCTGCAGGAAACGTCGTAAAACTTCTTTGGCAAAAGGCATACTTCAGCCTCCTTACAGCAGTTTTTGAAAGCTTCAGTCAGGTTTATGATGCTGGCGTTTTTACAGCAGAAGTCCCCACAGCCCATGATGACTCGTTCCTTAGCATCTTTTTTGCAATCACCTGAAAGCAATATTAGAATAAACACCAATGCGGCGATACTCTTCATTGTATCTCAAGGCGGAAATACTTTGTCGCTACATGGCTCTTGCGTTCGTGTTCTTAAAGACAGTTATACATATTAAGCTGATAGTGTTTTTGCATACATTTACCACGATGATAATCATACGCTCTCCTGCTAAGAAGCGTGGGGGTAAACTATTGCTTTTAAGGAAGCCGTGAACCAAAAAAGTGATATTACTAGCCAATTATCAAGCTGAAAGAAAATGGGAACAACGCTTTTGCATAAAACTTTAAAAATTAAAAAAATTAAAAACAGTTCTAAGTGCCATGTGGAAATGTAACCAGATACTATAATCACCAAGATGATTTCACCTGTTATAAAAGAAGTAAAAAGAACCAAAACTGTTGGTCAGGACAAAATTGCAGTCAAACCCGCTTTATAATCACTCTATAACTACGAAGAGTTTTCTTTGATTCCACAGAAAACTCTATCTTATAATTTGTTTCTAAATTCAACCTATTGAAGTCTTGATACGAACATCCGTCAATGCGGACAGCGAACATCAACAACGACCACTATTTCATCAAGTGTTTGCAGCAATAAACTTTTAATTACTTATTGCGTCAATTTCTAGCAAAGAATAAGAAAGTGATGGATAAAAGAACAGTGGCTATGTGGAATCTAACACATAGCCAGTTTATTAAGATTTGAACATTCAATAAAAAAAATATCGACACAAGTCTGTAATTTTCATTAAATACGTGATTCCTGCTAAGGCGAGGGCAATCAAACCGGAAAGGGAGAGGAGGCGGCTCGATAAAAATGCTGTGTTTCAACAAGATCAAGAACACGACATGCATTGTATGACGATCCAAGTAACCTAAAATGACATTTGATAATCTTCGATTCCATGCCCTAACCCCTGCTTGCATCATGGGTAATTAACCTTGTGGTTCAACTGTCGCATGAAATTTTACTTGCAAGCGAATAGTGCTGTTGTTTTTTAAAAGGTGTCAAAATACATTATAGCACGTTCACAGCGATAACTTAGACGAGATGGCACTAAGTTGGTTTTTCAAGTTGATCTCGCCCCAATCTCCTCGCGGTTTCTCTGCCCTCGCCCGCCTTTATTACTTTGCTCGCCAATCCAAAACCGCCATGCTAAGCAGGGTTAGCGAAAGTTTAAAAGAACTGTATAATTTTAACAAACAAGTTCTACTTGCAATTACTGCATGCGTAAGGTCTGCAATGTATAAATGAGCGACTTCGACCGGCAGGTTTTTGAGCACGAATGTTTTTACGACGATTAGTCATTGTTAATGCCTATGGAACTGTTCTATTTGATTGACGTAATTTTGTGCTGTGAAACTTGTATGAATACGTTTTTAATCACACGATCCTTTTAACGCAAACAGTCACTGTAATTTCATGGTTCCATTTCCAACCATTATTTGCCCGTTTTATGAAATAGTCATCGCGGTCAGTAGTGAAACATGTTGTTAAATGTTTATGTATGCAAATAATGCCGGTATTTTTAGCCGTGATGTGAGCTTAGTTTTCAGTATCAGTAAAAATCGCCATGCTCCATAATGCAGGTAATAACTGTGTGTAACACGAAAGGGAGTGTAGGAAATGACTTAAAGATGATGGAAATGAGATTTTTAAAAATCAAACTATACAAACCTTTTAGGTACTATTTTTCAATAGAGGCAAAACGAAAGGGGTACTTTTTCTGTCAAGAATGTTATTTTCCCCGCAGGGTTCACCCGAGGAGGCACCATAAATTCCCCCGCCTAAGGAAGTATCAGTTTTTTCGCTGTAAATCTTCTCGACTTGAAGAAACTAGGCGCGCAAGGTGGTCCTGGTTAAATCTTCAGCATGCGCGCAGTAGGCGGTGTTGGGTAATTCTGGTTCAGCAAGCGCGCAAGGTGGAATTGGCTGAGAAATTCTGGAAAAACGTCGGTGACCGGTCAACATTAGATTCCATCCTCCAGAACCACCTTCCCCTCTTAGCTACACTAACATGAAACTTCAAATCTCTTCAAACTTCTACTCTTCTAATCTTTTTCTAAGTCTACGTCCCTTCAATTATTATTATGTTTTTTTCAATTTTAAAAAAAGGAGATTGATTGTGGCATGTGGCATAAGCGGGATTCGCTGTCCTAGAAACCAAAACCCATCGCCTATACCACTACACCATGGATTCGACTGCAAGTTATTTGTTTTACATGTTTATAGTGACAAACCATTTCGAGTCAGTGCTTAGCCCTAATCACTATTGTCAGTTTGCTTAACACTATAACGTTTTTCGCGAAGTTTAAAAAAGGTATAGCCCAAGAGCATAGAACTAAAGAGTTAAAAGTATTGAAAGTTAGATGACTTATTTCAAAATAAACGTCATATCTAAGGCGGCAGCAGATGTAGTGAGAACTATTGCTAGTATAAAAGGGTAACAGGTTGGACTTCGAGGAGGTGCCTCCCCTTATAACCGTAAATCCTGGAGGGGTAAACTTCTTTGAGTGCTCCCCCGGGCTTTTGCCTACGTGACAAATGTAGGTGTCATGCAAAATGTATAAAACTTGTTGCTTAGCACGTATAGATGTAGCGAGTTCCAAGATTATCTTTAATACAAGGCTTAAGTGACTGAACTCTAGTATTATGTTTTTTAGAAAGGCTTTTCTCCCCCCAAAAAAGTTTCAATTATTCAATAGGACTATCGTTATTGCGTTTTTGGCCTAAAATACATATAGCCCACATTCCGTGATCTCTGTTCGGCTTAACTACAGAATACAGAGCACATTTTCCAGGTATATTCGTTGGAGCGGTTCGGTGGTTCGGTAGTCCCGACTGACGAGCCACCGAGCCGCCGAGCCACTAATATATATACCTTTCACCTTCTTAAGACGCTAACCCCGACTGACGAGCCTTCGAACCACTCAGCCAAGAAATTATATACCTTCACTACCCTTCTAATTTTATACTTTTACGTCTCTTTTTATGTCTATCTTATACTTATATATCTTATATCTTTCTATTTTTTTAAACACTTGTCAATCTATGACTAACGAGCCACCGAGCCACTTTTGTTCAATGCCTTTATAGCCTTGTGTTTCTCTGTTCTGTAGTTGCTAAAATGACAGTTAGTTCCTCACAAACAGGATTCACGAATCTGTCCAAAATGGTCGCTTCCTCCAGTCAGTCAATTTTGATTTCAATTATCATCTAAAAACTTAACCCCAGTTATTTTAGAGAAGAAAGTGGCTGGTCTGCTGGGGGTACTATTTAAACGGCAGAAATCTGAGAACGAACAAGACATATTTACGACGTTGAGGCATGGACAAACAATTAAAGTTATTAAATAAATATTTTTTTTGGATACAGCTGAATACCTGAACTTAAAAATGTAATTTAAGCAAGAGGAACATTCCAGAGAGATGCAATGAATTTACAGGGCGCAACAAAAAGCGAAGGATATATAAAATACATTTATCCCCGTGTTTAAGAGTAAAAAGTTTTTTTAAGAAGGTGATCTCAGGGTTCTAAACAACATAATTGCAAGCAAGTAAGGCTTGCAAGACGCTGAAGAAAGGAAACTCTGCAGAGAAGGTGTCGAGTACTTTGAGCAGTGCAAAGTTAACTGAAAGAAAGGTGAAAGAACAGGAAAATTGGAGGAGAAAAAATAACATAAAATGAGCAAAAAAGGGGCATTACGCCAATTCCTTATTCCCCATGATGCACCTTATTTGCCCCCCAAAAATTTTGTATAACCTTTGTTTTTCATTTCTCCTAAGTATTACAGCCGTCCCAAGAGAAATTGAAAACAATGCTTATGCGGAATTTTGGGGGGCAAATAAGGTGCATTATGGGAAACATGGGAGTGGTGTATAGAATAGAACATGGCTTGAGCTAACTGGTCGAGCTAACTGCTTGAGGCCTCGATTAGCCAATAGTGGCGCTCTCGGTCAAACTCATGGTTCTAGTAATACGTGATGTGATGATATATGTTTTTATAAAGCTGCTGCTATTGTTGTTGTTTCATTTCATGAATTAAAATGTATCAAAATTTAATATCTTGACACGATGAGCGCTATTTGCAGCTAATTAAGTTAAACTGGTGGACATATTCATAGGTAATTAAAGGACAGAAAGATAAACAGGTAACGTTGAATTGTATCAATTTTCCATCTAAAACATGGCGCAGAAGGGTGTGCTGAATTTTTCAGCAGTAGGTAAAATATTTACAATTGTTTTGCTACAAAATGTTTGCAACTTTAGAGAAACAGTTGGCGTGAGCACATATAGGAACAATAGCAACACATATTTCTGTCCATCGTTTAGCAAAATTACTCTGCGTTGGCATGAATTCCAACCATTCACCCACTAAAACTCACCAAGCAAGGCTCTTGAAGGGAATCTTATACATTATCATAAGAAAAGCGCTTAACATCTGCTGTCCAAATTTTGAGATCATTCATGAAAAAGTAGATATCAACAGCTCTTGTGAGATGGAGATCCTGATCTGCCAAACAGCACCCGACGAACCAAGAGTATATTTTCCCGATTTTTGCCAACCGAGGAGATGGGGAACAGTTTGAAAGAAGATTTCTCGGACTGTTTGATTCTCCAGGTCTCGCAGTTTTGAAAGTCAACCATGGAATCGCTTTGTCGTCAAATGAAATTCTCTACTTTCTGAAGGACGTGTGGACAATAGTAGTGATCAGCTTTTTACACGCGGTGTTGGCTGGAATGATTATCTGGTATCTGGTATGTACGTCAAGACACTCCTTTAACCCTTATTAACAAAAGCCTATTAGGGGAGAGTGGGAAAATACGAAAACTCGAATAACATCATATGATTTTGGGTTTATAAACTGAGGTCCATTGCCTCGGTATAACCCGGCGTGGCTCAGGCCAAATTTCAGTTGAGAACACGTACATGTACACTAAAGCAGTGTAATTTGAATGCGAGTAATTACGATATGGAAGGCAATTTAGGTTTGAGTGAACAATAGGATATTTTATGTACTGTGTCATGTGTGGCTGAA